CTGCCCTAGTGACCAGAGAACTTGCATCCACACACACTGCCGTTCACACACCAACCTCCTCTTTCAGAGTGTTCTTGACTTGCTTTCATTACTGTCTTGTGGATCATGTGCTTCGGGGAGGGGCGGGGATGTCGAAGATTTCGTCATCCCACCAGTTGGTTACTTCAGTAGCTCATCACTTTAAGAATGCTGTAGCTGCCCTAAGCCAACCATATACTGAAAGGTGGCCTACAAGCTTTCTGCAGAGAGAGAATGTATTCTGATGTGATAACAGTTGGACTATCTGTGAACTTACTTGTTTTCATTGAAGTACGCCGTGCTCCCCCCAGATTTGCAAACTAAGCACTTTTGCACCATTGTCAAGTCTCATGGGGTCCTTGCAGATCAGTCCAAAGTCTTTCCGACATACACATGGACAACTTTTGTTGATGAAGATGTCATCTATGTATGCCAAAATAGCTTGTGTTCATCTTGTCTGGATTTTGCACATCCACACGTTGAGACAGAAAAAAAAAACTGGTGTTATATAACTCTCCTAGTCCCAGACCCATGCTGACTATTGGCTAATACCTTCCCTGTATCATTCATATGCAAATAATCAGTGCTACCTGTAAGTAGCCCATTGTGGAATAGGATGTAACTCCTAGTGCTTACAGCACCACATGCAACTAACTCTAAGTCTCTTATCAGGTTGACCTGATACTCTGTTACAGATAGACAGCTTTGTAGAGGTGCATTGTCTTGCATGAATGCACTCTTTAATTTAAAACCTTGTGGTTGTGACCTGTACCACACAAAAAATATTTTGCCCAAGAACTTACAATAATTTGTCTGCATTTATTTTTCCTGCCATCATCAATTTTGAAGGGACCTATGATACTAGCCCCAGACATTATTCCATGTCCCCACTGTTGTATTCTAAATCATAAGTTGATTATTTCAATTTAAACTAAAATTCACATGGTATATTTATCACATACTTATAAATATAACCGGAACATTTTCATCAACATTTGTTGTTAATATCAATTTTACTGTGAAAACATTGATTTGCTTAATAAAATATGGCATTGTGTACAGTGAAAGTTTTAATCATATTTCCAGGTAAAATTACTCTTTTTTGCTGAAAGCCGAGAATTAACTGGAAAAAAAGAAACACAGTTATTTTTAATGAGTGAAATTAACACTGGTTCCAAGCTACGTAACACTGTATTTAATAAATTTCCTTGGTAAGTAAAATTTTGTAGAAAGTTTATTTTTTGTTCCCTCAATTGTTTTCATTTTTTTATTGTTCGACATTGACAACTACCTTGTATTAATAAAAATTAAAATATTAATATTTAAATTTCAACTGTAGAATATGTAAAAGATAGCAGCAGTAGAAAAGTAGACAATTTGTATAAAAGACTGAGCAATCATCTGTAAGAAGGTGGTTAAATAACTGATTGCATGATCTATACAAGGAAAGGCTGATTAACAGTGTTGGTTTAAATATTGTTTTGTAGAAACAGCAAAAGATGCAATCATTAGGTAAATCATTTTTTAATATATGCTGTGTAATTTTGAAAGGACTCCAACAATTTCCTGACAAATGAAGTAGTATTCTGACAATTGAAAGTGTGTTAACTCCTAAAAGAAAATTGACAGACTGTTGATTGGACAGTGAGATTTCTTTTTCGTGGTTGGTTCAAAAAGATGACTTCAGTGGTCATGAAAATTCTTATATGCTGTAATCCTCTTTTTGTGTAAAATCTATGCTTATACTAAATATAGTTTTATGTTGTCTGCCTCAAACTTTCTGCTCTAAAGACAAGACTTTCCTCATAATACTGGAGGATGAAAGCATTAAAGGTGAAGAGAAACATGAATATTATTTATTAAAAGTTGCACAGTACAAGTGGTTAGTAGGTGTAAAACATCATACAATGTATTCAATCAGCCATGATACAATTAAAAAATAATTGCCAGGAGGGTGAGGATTGAATTTAAAAGATCTTAAGTAATTTAAAATATTCTATATTGAGGATATCTTTCTTTAGATCTTATTGATTTAAGAGAGAGTAATGTTACTTTATGCTTACTGAATTTTCTCTTGGTGAACTATAGTTATGAAAACTTGTAATTGATGACAGAAATGAATTTCACAGTTTCAAAATAAATACTAACTGTAATGATATGTAAATATAAAAGTTTAATCATTTGCATATGGACAAGAAACCCTCAATATAAACTCTGGTAGTCTTGAGTAGAGACATATAATTTGGTGAATAGCAATTGTCTGTGATTTGCGAATGCTACTACTGCACATCATGACAATCAACATGCCGATGGGTTTATTTAGATAGACAAGAATACCATATGGAATAAAAATGGCTAGTGCTATTTTTCCAAGAACCATGGAACAGTCATTGGAGATAATATAGAAAATGTTATGTGCCATCAAGATGACATCTGCATAGGGGCCAGAAATGAAATAGAATTAAAAAAAAAGAAAATTGAAATTGTGTTGAGAAGATTAATAAATGTGGTCTCGGGTCACCCCTGAAACTTTGATATGGAGTCACCTTCTCTACTACATGTCGATTTCAGAATTTCCCAACCTGGGGGCCATAAACCCTTGAAGGAAAATTGGGTGGGGAGATTTTAAATTCCCAAAAATCAAGGAATTATCCAATTTAAATGAAAATTTCAGTACACCTTCATTAATTATTTACTTTTATAATGAATACGTTTTTATTTGAAAAAATCTGTGAAAATGCTATTCTTTTTGTACTAACCACCAATATTTTCATGACTAAATTTTACTTGAAAGTTTCAAATTTTTACATTTCCATAAAGATTAATGGTTGATATATCTCAGCTGAAAAAACTTTTTTACAAAGATTTCAACACAACACAAACAAAAAAACTTTAAAAAAAATTTAAAATTTGTTTTAGAAAAAGTATTTCAGTTTTCTGGAAAAAATTTCCATGTGTTGAAATCTTTAAAAATTTATTTTTTAAGTGATCATTTCCTTGGTTTTATCTTTCTAGAAATGTAAAAAAATAGGGACTAGAAATTTTATGTTAATTGCTAGCCATGGACTTCTGGTTAGCATTACTATTAGTTAAAAAAATAAATCAGAGATCCTCCTTTAGTGGATGATCTCAAAATAAAAAATGGTTTTACCTCTTAATTGATTTAAAAGAACTGTTCAGAAAGAAAAATTACAATTTCAAAAAATAAGCACTACTGAAATTAGCACTTTTTCCCCCCACCTCCTCAGTAGGCATGGGGCCCCTCCACGCAGTTGAAAGGTTCTGGATAGTAATCACTGGCCCTGTTGATTATTATAGTTGATGATTGACAATATAACTTAGAAAAAAAGCAAAACAAGAAATGCTGCTGAAACTATCAATTTTGAGGCTCCAACCTTGTCAGGGCTTCTTACATAGTACACACCACACTAACCATGCAGATACACAGTGTATATTATTAGTTGATGACTGACAAAGTAACGTCAGTTTAAAAATAATTAAAAAAAAATAGTGGATGGCCATAAAACAGTGCTGAAAAAAAAATGAGAGAGGCCACAATAGGGTTGTTCTATGACGTGATCAGTAGGCAACTTCTGCCAATCTCTTAGTTTACTATACGCTTTTATTTCTCTTCTACTTATCATATACAAATAGGTACAATCCTATTTACCATTCCACTACACCTCCCTGAATTGAAGCAGTTTAATGTCTTTGGTTGTTCTCAAACTTCTACATCTTTTCTCCCTCTTTTTGTTGAGGTTTATGTCCTGTTCTTTTTAATGTAGATATTGGTCTCATTTCATTTTCTTCTATGTCTGAGTCACTCCTGGTATCATATATAAGCTTGTCTTCTATTGCATTATCCTGATCTGAAGAGCTCATCCTTTCTTCTCTATAAAGATCTTCTTCCATCACAACGTCTTCCACTTCAATTTGTAGAAATACAATAAGATCTACAGAAGGAGAAGCAGAGCAAAAAAGTACCGAAAATGGAACAGAGTGTGGAAGAAGCAAAAGATTGACCAAGGTCATAAAATCCTTTTGTTTTAGAGAGATATCATGTGCAAAGGATAAATTTTGATCATTTGCATATAGATGAGAGATAATCAATATAACATTGAATAGTCAAGAGGGAGATCAATTTGGTGAGTAGTGATTGTTAGTGACTTGCAAATAATACCACTACACATCATGACAGTTTAAGAATGTTTTAAATCTTTTCTGTTCTTTAGTAAGAATTGCTTTTCCAACTTTTAATGTTTTTTCTTAAATAAAACTTTATTAGTGACTAATCAGTAAATCATTGCCCTAACTTTTCAAAATGATTTACCATTTTTGTACTTTTTTTTTTTTCTGCAACTTTTTTTTCAGTCTTCTTCCTCTACAAGATTCCATTATAATTGCTCTTAATGAAAAATATTTAATTGACAAAGACAACTTTCAGCTTTCAAATGGAGATGAAATTGCAGTGCTTCCTCCACTGAGTGGAGGATAATTTTCTTAAAAATGTAAGCTATTTCCTTTTATATAGAGATGAAAATTATTATTTCTTATAATTTGAATATGTGTAAATGAAATAAAATTCTTTGATAATTAATAAGTTAAATTATTCTCACCTAGATTATTTCAAATATATTATTGCTGTATAGAAAATTTCTTTAAATAATGCTACTCTATAAAAAATATTTATTTTTAATTTTTCTTTTCTTAATTTTAAATGTACATGCTTACATTAAAAATTTAAATAGACCATGAGTGAAATTTCAACTTAAGACAAAATTATTCTGCTTGACTTAACTGCTAATCTTGCATACTTTTCACTATAAAAATTTACAAAAAATTATCTTTTTATTATTTTTTCAGTTTCTTTTACTTTTCAGTTCCTGATTCTATGAAATATTCATTTGATTGCAAATAAAATTAAAGAATTATGCCTTTTTGCAACTGAGCTTTTCCTTTCCCTGACTGTGCCCATCCTCAACATGGATGACATTATTGATTTAACTGAGCAGCAACTTAATGCAGAAAACATTTCACGTTCAGTTATATTGCCAAGCTGTGGAGCAGTAGCCATGTTTATTGGTAAGCTATATTCTTCCTAAAATGTATTTTTAATCCACTGTTGGTACTGTGGTGGGCATTGTCACAGCATTAGTAGCATGAGGTTTTCATTTTATTTATATATATATAGAGAGAGAGAGAGAGGCAGCAAATTCTCTTTTAGGCAGCTGACAGTTATGCTTTAGTGCTCATTCAAATGTGAAAACTTATCCATTATGGAATTTTTTCTTTTATGTTGGAATATCATAGTCAAGCATGCATTAAAGTGTGAAAACTGTTCTTTTTATAGGCCCAACTGTCAGTCGTTGCATTTAAATGCAAAAAACCCTTCAGTAATGGATAGCTACACATAGTTTCTGCCTTATCAGTTGCACTCCTGATGATGATCTCAGAAAGAGATGGAAAGTACTTGGAAATTAAAAGTGATTTTCACTGTTACAGTGCATTTCTTGCCTCATTTAATTGTAATACATGGAAAAATATTTGTGAATATGAAAGGATTAAGCTAAAAATAAGCAGACATAATGTTTGTAATTTATTTTATCAGACATTATATATATATATATATATATATATATATATATAATCCTTACCTCTAAAACACAAGGTGCTACTGTATGTGAAAGAGAAGGAAAAAACTTTAGAGGGAACCAGAAACCCAATCCTAAACAGGAAAAAAGGAATAAACCTCTACCCCTGTTCAAAAACCCAGGTAGGGCTGTAAAGTGGATGATAGATGAACCTATCTACTTCTATTGAGGAAAGAATATGTAAAATAAATAGTAAATAAAATTTCAGAGTTTAAGGGGAAACGGAAGTATAGAGTTGAAGAATTTAGAAGGAATCAGAAACCCAATCCTAAACAAGGAATAAAACTCTCTTTTTAAAAAAGGATTGTGAAGCAGACAGTAGTTGAACATATTTACTCCTACTTAACTAATCATGAAAATTTGATTTGCTACATGATAAATATTAAGAAAAAACATTTTGTGGAGGTGTTCAAACACCCAATGATGCTAACAGAGGGGAGGGTCAATGGTCTTAGTTGAGGTGAGGATTTAGCATATAATAGTTTTAGATTTAGATAGTTGACTTTCTAAATGCCAGGTCTTTCAACATTAATTCCTACAAATTAAACTGATAGAAAGAAATCTTGGCTTCAAGATGGAGGCTAAAGATTTTTTTGTCGCTTTCAAATAATCTAATACGCTAATATAACATTCATGACACAATGCAATAAACATCAATTTTCTTGTACTGGAAAGAAAATGGAACCAGAATGTTAAGATCTTCCTAAAATATTACAATATTTTTCTCTTTACCTGCTTGTAGAAATGAGAGAATTTGTTGTAAATTCAGACAGCTTGACTGTCCCCATTCTTCATTTATTCTTAGTTAGCAACCACTTTTATTTCTGTTATTTTTTTCCTTGAAGAAAGATTTTTTATTCTTGTATTTTATAGGCTGGAGAATGGATCAGCCTAAATATTATATATTTAGTATAGGTATATGAAGAAGGGGTTCAATTGTCCAGCCAAAATTTTAAACATGATCCTTCTGAAAGTTATAAACAATACAGATAATTTATTTTTTATTTATTGTAGGAACAACTCGAGATAATTTTGATGGCAAAAAAGTTGTGAAGTTGGAATATGAAGCTTATGAAACAATGGCCAAAAAGAAAATGAAAGAAATTTGTCAGGAGATACGATCAAAATGGAAGTTGGGACGAATAGCTATCATTCACAGATTAGGGTAAGACAGAATCACTTAAAAAAGCAGACCTTTCTGTCATGTTTCAAAAGTAGAACTTTCTATCATGTGTTAGATGACTATTACTCAATAGAGATGCACCTGTACAAATTCTAAATTGAATTTTCTGTTTTTTTGATGACTTAGGATTTATCTAAAGTATTCTTGGCTCTTGAATAAATGGCTGCTAATAGTTTTATTTTAAAACTTCATTTTAATGTGGCAGATGAATAAGTAAAGAATGTCTGCAGAATAATTTCTACTTTATGACTAGAAATTAATTATTGTGCAGGTATCTTAATCCTCCTATAGAAAAACAATTCTGTTTCATGGGACACTGCTTATGTAGATTAAGCAGGTCATGTGATGTAGGGTTGCGAGCAGTTCAACTTAGCACAGACTACTGTGAAGATGGACATGTCAATTTGTGTGGTTGAATGTCGGTGGCCATAGGTGATATTTAGCATTGAAGCAGTTATGTTCTCTTTTTTTCATTCTCTCCCTGGAAAAAGTTCTTTTACTGGAAAGCTGTGAAAGTATTGAAAGCAGTTATTTGCTGAGAAAGCTAAAATTCTTAGAGCATGGAACATGGTGGCAGTGGTACACTAAATCAGTGACAACTGAACAATGAAAGGGAAAATATGACAGTACAAGGAAAATGGATAAGTGTTAATTTTTGTGTTTTTGTTTTGATATTGTAAAAATTCCAACTACTTTTGTCTAAGGTAAAGGTGACTGACCCAGTTGGAAATTAGCTACATGCTCAGCAGTCAGTAGCAGGTATAAGGTCACCTCAGTCCCTGTGTTTAAATGGCAATTTTGCTGAAAATTGGAAACTGTTCAAGCAGAAATGGCATAACTATGGCATTATCACATATTTGCATGGCCAGTAATGACAGGACCAAACAGCATTACTTCTCCACATGTTAGGTGAAGACTTGTTAAAGGTTTATAATGGTTTTCATTTTCCCATACCCGATGAACAGTAGACACTGAAAGAAATTCTTGAAACATTTGACAGGTATGCAATTGGTGAAACTAATAAACATGAGTACAAACATTTTATGTTTCACATGAGGAATCAAGAAGAGTCCAAATGCGTACTATCATTGTTCAACTGGAGTCCCACTGGAAAACGTTTAGACTGGAGCTGAGAGTCTTCATCATTTGATAAATCAGATTGCAATGTAGGTGATTTCAGCAATCCAAGCATGGGTCACTGAAAAAGATTTTGGTTAGACAAAATATCACAAGTGTCACTGATGAGTAGGAACACAATTTTCAGCTGATCACAACCTAATTGTTGGCAAGGGTAGTAGAATTATAGAACCCACTTTTCAAAATCTGACCAACTGACCAAACATTTCTCATATACAATATGAGAATTAAACAGAATTTCTTTCAAAATACTTAAACTAGCTGTTTGCTTTTCTTCACCTAAAACAAAAAATAAACTTTTCAAGTAAATGTAATACTTATGGATATAAATTTCCCTCACTTTTTTTATTCAAGATTTATGTAAAGTGAATATTTTCAAATAAATTCACCAGCATTCTATAATACTTTGAATAAGGCAAAATTAATTAGTGTATTGTTGATAACTGAAAAAAGGTTTTTAAGTGCTTTTTTTATTTTTTTTAAATTCCCTCAGTTCACAAACTCTTAATGTTAAATTTTAAAAATATTTGTTGTAGTCATAAGAACTATTTCATTAATTTACATTTATTGAATTTGTTTTTGCACTGCTGTAATAAATTTGAATTCCTTTTCTACAGTGAAGTGCCCATAACTGAAGCAAGTGTTGTGATTGCCATTTCATCGCCTCATAGAAAAGAAGCCTTGGAAGCAGTTAATGAAGCCATTTATGCATTAAAAGCAAAGGTTCCTATTTGGAAAAAGGTATTTCAGAACATTTTCTATTTTTTATTACAATATATCAAATGCATAAAGTTACTCTTTTTAGCAACCAATTCTTACGATGAATGTATCATCCTAACTACTAAACATATGCAGTAATTAATAAATTTGGAGTCCACTAACATACCTTGAGTTTTGCATGCCAGTGTACATAGTGGATTAAAGAATAAATTTCTTTGCTTCACTAATAGAGGAATTGAAAGTATATTTGTGTCACATAATGTTATGGAAGTTCAAGAAAGGGATTAATACTATGGAGACCTCTACAAAAATATGTAGTGTTTATAGTCAAGGAGTCATGACTGACTGGCAAGCACAAAATTGGTTTGCAAAGTTTTGTTCTGGAGAAACTTCCTTTGGAAAATGAATCCAGATTGGGGCATTCATCACACTTTAATAATAAAGTCATTAGCAGAAAGCAATCCACAGTTAAGTATTCAGGAATTAGCAAAGATGTTAAGCACATCACAATGTACCCTATGCCAACAGATAGGGAGAGTCAGCAAGCTGGGTGTTTTGGTCCCATACACTCATAGTGAAAAGAACAAAGTGGACTGTTTATCTATAGTGATAAATCTCCATTAACAAAAGAGAAATAACTTGTTTCTTAAGTAAATCCTAACAGATAATGAAAAATGGGTTCTATACAACAATATTCAATGCAAAAGTCAGTGGATTAACAAGGATAAATCTCCAAAAGCTGAGCTGTGGAAGAAAGGTTGTGTTGTGTGGGTTAGGGTTGTCAGGGTTTTATTCATTTAGAGTTTTTTAAAAGTGAAAAGAAACACTAAATTCACATTAATACATCCAGCAGCTGCAACATGGTTGAAAAGTGCTCTGTGCTTGTCAATAGGAAAAATATTGTTCTCCTCCATGACAAAATTTGGGGATTTGGTTCTGCTCCACCCATCATGTTCATCCGACTTTGCATCAACCAATTATTACCTTTCTTAATTGCTGCAAATGTGGAAAACTTTGTCTAATGATAACTAGATTTAAAAGTTCATTGAAACCTTTCTTACATCAAAACCTGTGTAATTTTGCTTAAAAGGTGTTGAAGAGCTGCCTAAGAAGTGGCAACAAGTCATTGCAAATAATGGTGAATTGAGAATTTAATAAAATGAATGTAATTGTACTTTTTTTTTTTTTTTTTGAAGAATAAAGTTTATACACACAGTAGTTATTTATGACTCAGCCTAATATTTCTGTGCTGTGCAAAAATCAGTGTGTGTACACTCAATTCACTTTTTGCATAGGGGATACCTTGCAAAATAAAACCATGTAAAAAAAAAAAAATATATATATACAGTGTCACTACTAGACAGTAAACATGCCCACTTTCTATTGTTTTTTGGTGGTGTAAAATCAGTCTTGTCACTGGAAATATTTAATCTTGTGTATCTTGAATAAAATTAACCCCTTGTGTTTCTTTTGTTCCACTGGTTCTGAATACAAATTCTGTTATTGGACTCTGTGATTTTTTTTTTTTTTGTTAGTTCTATATATGATTCTTCATAATATACCATAATCATTTTCAAATCATGTTAGAATTGCACAACTTGTTCAACATTATCATTTGCAAGAAAATGATTTCCAAGTTTATTGGTTATTTTGGAGGTCTTCTAGAATTGTACTTTCAGATAGTGGAACCACTTCTTCATCTTCACTACTATAAACTAAAGTGGAATCGTATACATTTTCTGAAATACTCTTTATAATTTGTTCTTCATTAGGAGTGACGTAAATCGTAATTCTGCAATATCTTCAATTGTTAATTCTTCGAAACCTTCTCTGCTAATCTGATGTAACAAAGTGATGATTTCAGAATTTAATTTATTTGTATTTATATTAGGTACAATATTTTTAGTCTGGCCAAAGTGATCTCCAGCATGCATTTAGGTGGATGGCTTTAATTTGGATAAAGCCAGGGCAGCATATTTAACATAGTTAATTATAGTATGCTTGAATGATTTTCTAGTTCATCTATAATATATTCAAATATTTGTTGGCTGTAATATGATTTGAAATTATACCGTGATCAAGCAGTTGAATCAGCGATGTTATATTAGGTGGCAAGAATACAACTTTTACATTCAGGTGTTTCAAATCTGGATGACTGGGTGCATTGTCTATAAGTAAAAGGACTTTAACCTCAAGATATTTATCTTCCATATATTGTCTTACTTCAGGAACAAAGCAGTTGTTAAACCATTTAGTAAATATTTCTGCTGTCATCGATGATTTTTTATTGGTGCTCCAATGAACTGGTAATTTATTTAAGTCTACGCCTTTCATTTCACATGGACAAACTGGTTGATTAATTAATAATGGTTTTAACAAACAATCCCCTGAAGCATTGCTACATAACAAGAAAGTTTAGCTGCCTTAAAACCACTGGCACTTTTCTCTGATTTTGCTATATACGTTTTGTATGGCATTTTTTTCCAAAAGAGACCAGTTTCATCTGTGTTGAAAACTTGGTCTGAAATGTAACAGCTGCCTTCAATTATTTTGGCAAGTTTTGGAAGAAATTCTTCAGCAGCAATCTTATCTACTGATGAAATTTACCCTCTCATTTTTATATTATGCAGTGTGTGTCTTTCGAGGAATTTTGTAAGCTATTCCATACTTGCAGCAAATTCATTCTTTTTATCACTAGACAGATGTAATGCACTTAATAACTCCAGATCATTAATCTTGTAAAATCATACTGCCATCTGTTTTATGGTTTTACCATCTCCTTTTCTATCCATATTATTAAAGCATTTTCCTTTTTTTTTTTTCTTGAATCGTGTCTCTTGTATATGATGACAACTTGGCAGATAATTTTGTTCCAGAAGCTACAGATCTTCTAATGGCAGCATCATTTCTTTTGATCATTCTTATCGTTGCTTTATTCAGGCAGAAAGCTCTAAGGATGTTGCACTTTCGACCTTACAAAGACATGAATATCAATTGTTGGTTTTCTCATTCATGTGTCTGATAGATTTTTATTCTAATCTTTAGAAATCAAGAATCAATACAATTAACTGAACAAGGACACTTATATATAACGAGTTAGAGGCATTCCAATTTGACAAAAATAACTGTTCACTAAATTCATATTCATCACTAGAATTTGAAAATTATTTCTTTTTATTTCAGGCTGTTAATCAGTACTATTTCATTCCCGTCTTATTTTGAAATATTTTAACTCTAAAAAAAAAAAATTATTCTTGTTAATTAGAATTATGAAAGTGTTGGTGGCTATTCAAATTTTTAACTCTTTTTCTCAGTGGAGCTTTCATTTACAGTCCCCCACCAAAAAAAAAAAAAAACTAATTGAGTCATTTACAGGCCACCACTGCTAAAGTCTCACTTCTTTTCTCATTCAAAATTATTGCTGAAGCTCAAATTAAATTTCCTAAGTTTTAATGTTTTTAAATAATTTTGTTATTTTATAGATTGTGTAGCCAATTTTAGAATAAAGAAGTAACTGCAATTCAAGTAATGCTTTTTTCATTATCTGACAGGAAATCTATGAAAATCATGACTCTGCCTGGAAGCAAAATCAGGAATGTGCATGGAGTAATGGATCAAAAGAAAAGGTGTTTATCAAAACATCTTGAAACAAAATGGAAATCTATCCTATTGATAAGTTTGCATAAAATATTAATAATTTACCTACAAACTAAGAAAAATTAAGCTGCTTTCAATGGAAAAAGAATATATTTTATATAATGAAAAGATTAAAGAGAACAATGACATACATATATTTTTGAATTGTATTAACCAAAAAGGTTAGAGGGCAAATAGAATAATGAGACATTAATGTGGTAAAAGTTTTACAGAAGTTTCTGTAAGATGAAATTGCATTTTAACAATCTGTTCAATAGGGTGATATATGAATGAGTTGTGATTCTCTACAAATTGTGATAGGCAACTTATCTATCTGGTTGAAAGGAAAGTTCTTGTGGGTTCTAAATACATTTTTAGAAATCACAGAAACTTTCCTTTTAACCAGATAAAATTTGTGTCTACTCAAAACCTTGAACATTAATTAAAATTATGACATGAAATAAATGTGGCTTTATCATTTATATCTGTTTATATATTAGCAAACTTAATGGCTCTTGCTTAATGTGAAATCAATTTTCATATTCAGCTTTAAAAATCAATTTTCCAATCTAGTCTCTTATGATCTTTATAAATAAGCAATTATTCTGTTGATTGCTTTTAAAATGAAATTGCATTTTTTGTCCAGAAAATAGCATTTACATCATAATTTAAGAATAAAGGGAAGTAAGCAATATAGCATATTTTGAAAGTTTGCAAATAAATTATATAACGTCTTATAAATGACTTCTAAGATTAAACATGAAACTGCTTTAATTATGACAATTTTGCCATTTTACAGCCTATACAAGTCTCTCAAAGAAATGACTAGCACAACAAATTAAGAGGACTTTGCCTGTGCAATGCTGGGTATTGTTTCTAGTCTTATATATTTTATCAACTGTACCTTTATTTATAATATCCTTGAGATCAGATTTTACTTTTTTTTTCTTTTTAAAATAAAATTTATTTTACCCATGGATGCTGGAAAAAATTTTCAGGACATATACGATAAATATACCATGTGAATTTCAATTTATAACATCTTTTTTATTAGAAATATTTGCAATAATTTAGTTGGTGGTGTCAGATTTTATTATTCCACCTCAAATTGGGAATGAATACTGTAATTAATATTTAGATTTTTAGCTTGTTCTGACAATAAAAATGGCATTTCTTGTTTCAGCATCTTGAATAATGATTTCCAGTCTAATTCTCTAGTTAATTGATTTTGCATTTATTTGTACTTTTTTTTTTTTTTTTTTTTTGGCAGCACCCTCTTAGATACTTAACACTGATATTTATATCAGTATATAGCAAATACTTGTAAATAATAAGAGTATATAACATTGTTAAAAAAATGCCAAAGAGGATTTCAAGAATCTGAAGCCTTTTTATTTTAAAAATCAAGAAACTCCAAATTCAATTTGGGCAGTGAAATTTCAAATGTATTTAACAACACATTCTGCCCAGTGAAGAATTTCATGATTCTCTCATCTCATCATAACAATAATGCCAATTAAAAAAAAAAAAAAATTACCATCGATAGTTTTTGTGCTCAGATCATGGCTAGGAGCAGTGTCAAAAGCATTAAATGTCAAACATTTGGGGCAATCTTTATTATGACTACTTTGCACAGCCTAATGAATATATTTTCCTTTATATTTCCAAGTTGTATGGAGGATAGAAAACCAGGATTCATTTTAATGAAATGCAAATGAATGAATACTGGCAAATGGATTAAAAACAGGTACCTTTAATTAACAGACCACAATGTTTAAAGAATTATGAAAGAGCTAAAACATATATAAATGTCTTTCATGAAGGCTAACCCTGAGATTAATACTATAGTATGAATATGTCATTTATAATGCTTTGCTTACTCTGGCACAAGATCACAGTTGTGAATGACCCAATGAAGTCCAAACACTGCAATTTTGTCCAGGAAATGAGCTCTATGATGGACAGTTAATAGGGTTATGCATACATGTACATTTCTATATAAATATACAAGGAGGTGCTGAAAAGTTCGTAATTTGTCCCACTTTCCAAATGACCAAATATTAGAATTTTTTTATTTTAATCCCTTCTTGGCCAGACTTCGGAACTTTCAGCATTCCTGTTTATGCATATTTATAATGTATCAAATTAATCTCACTAATTAAACATACCTAACTTCTTTAACTGATATGTTAAATAAAAACTGTCACTTTTCTTTTGAGATTAAAATTTATTCAGTTTGGAAAAAAAATAGAGAGACAATATCTTTACCATGATGCAAAAATCAAGCATTTTTACATATTTTTTGATTTCCTTCAAATGAACTGTAGATAACTTCATTGTGATTGACCAAATTCAATCAGGTATTTCAGTTTTGCTATATCTTCATCATTCATTCCGATATAAAACATTTGTTCTTTGTTTACTTGTTTATAAATAATTTCCCATGCCATTTACATACATGTTAGACAGAAAAGTAAAAAATATTCTTCAGTAGCAGATGTATTTTTTCTATTTTTCATTAAAAATAGAATTAAATATAAAATGTCTAATGAATACATTTGAAGACTATTTGGAGCAAAAGTTAAAATAAGATTTTCTATGTAGATAAATTCACTATTACTTTTTGGTTTCCAAATCAATGTATTCAGTCCTTTTTCTCGCTCTTAAATACAGGCTTATCCATTTATAATCTTATAAAATTCCCCAGTGTTATTAATTTTCAAGAAAATTCACAAAACATATTTAATAAATTAAGACTTTTCCTCTTCTTGCTTGCTGTTCGAAAGATATGTGCAAGGTGGAATGGTTATTGACACTGAAAATGGAATCAGCAGGTTGTTCAAACTGTTAAAATTCACTAATGCAGTTGAAAAAGCATCAATCTATAGGTTAAATAGCAGGGTAGATTGCCTCACCATTCCACCTTGGTTGACACCCAGTCTAGGAAAAAGGCAACAGGAATCTACTTCACTATCTTTCACGAGATTAATCATGGCAATGCACAGTTTACAAATATTCAAGGAAACAGTGAAGAGCCCACATCCTGAAGAAAATATGATTTTGGAAGAGTTTTTAACTATTCAACTGTCACTCTATTTTGGTTTGCAATGCTCTATTTATTGCTTCTTCCATTCCAGTCAAGCACTAATAGGTCAATAATACATTGACTTAGAAAATGAGCTATATATTTTGAGAAGGAAATGTGTGATATATATACTTTGAGACATTTTTATATGTTAGCTGGAAAAAAATCTCAAAATGGTTCAGATAAAACCCAGATTTATGAAAAAAAATGTTATTTAAAACATTTAAAGATTTTTGTCATTTTCTTCTGGGTTATAAATATTACTTGAATTGTAAATTTCCGAAGGAAAAGTCATTTTTGATATCCTATTTACAGCCATAAAAATTGCTGATATTTGTTTCAAATAGTTGTAAAGGTTGTTTTAACTGAGCTGAAATAACGGTCTGTTGATGGAAAACCAGTTTTAGTAAGTTGCAGGTGAATCATTTTGGTTCATCTTTTACTGTTAACAACAGGGAATAATAGCTTTTAAAATGTACAAGCCAAATACAAATTATTATGGAATAAAAAATAGTTTTCATGTTAATGTGACACCATTAAATATCTGGTTTGTGTCACTTATAGTTTGAGAGGTGAAATTGTAAGACTTGGGTGTGATTGGTCATCAGGTACAGTCTTAGGTGTGTTTAACTTGCATTTTTTTTCATTTGATGAAGGGATTGTTTGTTGAAATGAGTGACACAAAGCAAATCTTTGCAGGTCAGATTTGTTTTGATCAGGGATATTTCAGATAGGTCAAATGAAGGTGAAGTTCTGGAACATGGAAAATATTCCACTGAAGATAGATAGGAGTGATGCAAGGCCACAATTTTGATTGGCCTACCAACATATGGCCATTATTTTGATTAGACTATCAATCATATTGGGTTGGGGGGGGGCTTTCCTTCCTCCCTTTCATGGCATATGACACAAGACCATTGGTCAAGCACTGCTCTGATTGGCTAGCCAATCAGAGCAGTGCAATTGGAGTTTGCACCCCCATAAAAACAGTTGCCAAAAGAGTAGAAGTAAAAATCGAACTGGTCTCACCATTAGTAGACTAATAATCTCTCTGCTGAATGAGTCCTTTTCTCTGCATCGCTTTTTGAACTCCCTCAATCAGCTGCCTTCATTCAAATAGTTGAATGACTCTTTAACCATAACTGCAATTGCCAGTCAACCACTTCCTCCTAGCCTAAGAATTCCTTATATGGGGGGAAACTTCTTCAAATCCCTTTTATTTAAGTATTCATGATCTTAATCAGTCATAGTACCATGAATAAAAGTTGGTATTTTTACACTTGTTAATGAGTGTTGAAGTTAAGTTTACCAGCAACACTGGTGAGTTTCACATGCATAGCTGGGACAGAGTGGAGTCAAACCTGATCTTTGACGGTTCTTTACCAATATTCCTGCATATACTAAAACACGTGGGTATGCAGGATCAGTTCAGAATGGGTATGTCAGACGGACCAAAGAGTGGCATTCAGCATCAGAGCCACAATTGGTACCATAACCAGGATTCGACCCCAGGAACTCATCCACAATAGGTGTAAGAATTGTCCATTTTTTAAAAATAGTGAGAATATTAAACTTAATGATTTAAGTGGTTTGATATCTGAAATAATTATAACTGACAGTATTTTTAAAATTCTAAACTAGGAACATAAATGTTAAGGCATTAGGTTTATTTACCAATAAAAAATTATTGAATACTGTCAACAATGAAATATAGCAAATTGTAAAAGAAAAAGAATCAACAGACAACTTGTATTAATATTATACTTTTATTCTTTTTCTCCTCTGGTCTAGAAAAAAAAGAAATTCATTGTGTAATCAAACGATGTACATATTTCCATAGATTTTTCAAGTTCATTGGACCAGCTGTCACTTGGGATTAGGGCTCCTTTTTTTTTCTCTTTGTTTTTAAACTGCAGCTAAAACCAG